GCCTTTAGTTAAAAGATTTCTTTAGGATTTCCATCAGAATTCCTTAAAAGTAAGCACAGCAGTTTGGGTGCCACAGGTTTAGTCTAGCCATCTCTATAAGAATGCAGACTTTTAGATGAGGTACTCTTGTGCGGAACTGGGACTGCACTTTCCACAGCTTTCCCACAGTCTGTCCATTCATCAGAGATGAATAGAAGTGTGCCTTGCTGCAGGCAAGTAGACATGTCATCAAGGGACTCAACTGAAATCTCAAAGGGGGGTTTATGACACTGTCCCTAATTGAGATTGGCATTTTTTTTGCTTGTTTGGATTCATACTGTACTGTCCCACTAAAGAATAGAAGTCTAAACTAAAACTGTAGTTTAGACTTGTATTTTTTAGTGGGACAGTACAGTGCAGTACAATTGTTTTAGTCGTGGTAAATTTTAAGTTTTTAAAACATTTAAAAAGATTAAAAGAGTGTTTTGTTTTTCCTATTGTGAATACTGTGATATTTATTGACTGATGTATGAATTTCAAACCTTTGCTATGTATCTGGTTTATTTGATATTTTTATTCATGTGAAGAATATGAAATCTTTTTTAAAATTATCTTGGGGAAAAATTTAGCAAATTTTTTTTTAATATAGGCCTCTCAACAGCACGTGCCTTTCTGAGCAATTAATCCTAATGGTGAACAACAGGGCTGCACTTTCTCACACACTCTCCCGCCCTCCACCTGCTCCCCAGAGATGAGCTCTTTGTGTTGGAGCAAAAAGGGCTTCAGCCGCCATGTGTCACTCCAAACGCTCCCATTGGCTGCAGACTGTGAGAACCTCCAGCAAACTCCAGACTCACACATTGATATGGAGATTTGTGAGTATAAATAGAGGAGAGAGGAGTGAGAGTTTAGCACAGCTCAGATCTGATCCTGACGGAGAACTGAACACAAGACACACAGCAATGGCTCCTACAATCACTGGATCAATCAGCAGCAGAGAAACTCTACTGACAAACAAGGTAAATATTGATCATTTCACAGCTCAGCTCTCAATGTCAGATTCCATAAATGCTGGATGAGTGTTTCTAAACGCCTGTCCTCAATGTTTCCTCAGCTGAGAAAGCCCATGGTGGAGAAGATCCGCCGAGAGCGAATCAACAGCAGCATCGAGAAGCTCAAGACTCTTCTGGCTCAAGAGTTCATCAAGCAGCAGCCCGACTCCAGACAGGAGAAAGCTGATATCCTGGAGATGACGCTTGATTTCTTGAGACGCTCTCAGAAAAGCAGTGCGGCTGGTGACGGACGCTCCAGATGTGTGCAGGAGGCCGTCAGCTTTCTGTCTCAGTGCCCAGTGCAGACGCAGAGCCACACAAGACTGATGAAGCTCTTCCTGCACATGCAGACTCCTGCAGACCAGCACACACGTGTGGACAATCCTCAGACCACTGAAACACACGCAAACAGCAGCGCCAAACAACACACTCCAGCCCGCAGTCACATCTGGAGACCCTGGTAGAGCCCAGAGCACCCGCCGTACCATTGAGAAAACACGAGTCACGATGCCAGTCTGAGATTGGCATGGACTGAAGTTCAGAAAGTAGGAATTGATTTCCGCCTCTGCAGCTTCTGCAGGACATTTAATCTGCTTTCAGAGAAAGAGAGTTTAGTGAAACTGTGTGAGCAGTCATGTTTGATCTCAATGCACACAATCATCTGCTGTGTAGAATGATTATTACAGTGCATTTGTGAAAATTAACATTCAGTAGAAACTTTAAAGTCTGATTCAGACATTTGAGCATTTCACCCATATTGGGTTTGTTTTCTCTTCGTCTATACGATGACCACACGGCTTTAGTTCACTGAAAACACTTGATTTAGATTTCTGCTATTTGAAATGCATCTTATCTTTTCTTATAATATAAGAAACACTTCTTCAGTTGAAAGATTTATTTGTGTGTTGAAGCACAAATGATTGTTTTTAATGTTTGCATGTGTTTACATGTAGGAGACTTTTCCCCTGTAAAGGGCAGATCAGTGTTTTCACTGTTAGTCAAAGTATTTCACTTTTATTTGTAAAGTCATTTTCTTACCTTCATTGAAGGATTCTTGCTCTGCATGTAAAGGATGACCACACTGCTTTCATTTACTGAAAGTGCTTTACTTCTTATTTCTGTTGTTTGAAATAATTTCATCTTCTCTTATTGTTAGAGAAATATATCTTCATTTGAAGGACTTGTTTGTGTGTTGAAGCACAAATGATTGTTTTTAATATTTGCATGTGTTTACATGAAGGAGACTTTTTCCCTGTATAGGGCAGCTCAATGTTTTCACTGTTAGTCAAAGTATTTCACTTTTATATGCAGTCATGCTCTTACCTTCATTAAAGGTTTCTTGCTCTGCATGATCATGCTGCTTTTATTTACTGAAAGTGCTTTATTTTTATTTCTATTGTTTGAAATATATCTGATTTTCTCTTATTGTTAGAGAAATATATCTTCATTTGAAAGATTTATTTGTGTGTTGAAGCACAAATGATTGTTTTTAATGTTTGCATGTGTTTACATGAAGGAGACTTTTCCCCTGTAAAGGGCAGCTCAATGTTTTCACTGTTAGTGAAAGACTATTACGTTACGTTTTATATGCAGTCATGTTCTTACCTTCATTGAAGGTTTTTTGCATTATTTCCCTAATTTTAAATGTCTGTGACATTGTTTAATATTTCCCAGTTCAATGGAACTGCAGATGTAATGAGGACTTCTTCCTGATTCTGAAATATGTATGTACATTTTGTTACTGATGTTACTGCTTTGCTATGTTAAAGCACCCATCCTTCATAGTTGAGGCAAATGTGAATTGTTAGATTTGCTCACATGAAGAAAAGCAATCATATTGCATATGGCAAATAAACTGTACAATCAACTTTCTTGTTTTGGGTTTTCTTTAACTCTCAACTGTTTCAACAAAAACTCACATTTTTAAAGAATATGTCATTTTCAAAAAAGTTTTTAAAGTCAAACAAATGTTTGACCGTCATAAGAAAATCAGCTTTTGGACATCTAAAAAGAGGTGTATAATGTTAGACACGTGTATGTTTTAACAGTATATTTATAGAATAATGGCCTCTCAAGAAATTAGTTCATTATTAAGAAATTACTTTTTAAAAAACTTTAGTCCTTCATATGTTGAAATTCACATTCAAATATTTATATTTCATACTGAATTTAATGCAGATAAATCCAAGACTACGAGGGATAATTTTATTGCCCTTATGACATGTTGTTTTCAGAAATCATAACTTTCAAAACATTCAAAAATTTCTTCCCTACTGATTTTTAAGAAGTTCTGTTACCTGAAAAATATATTTTGTTAAGCAACAGTAAATCCATTGAATTCAGCGTACACCCTTGAGTCTTTTAAAAATCTAAATATGACACTTTCCTGACTATAGTCTACACAATAAGATAGATATGAATGCAAAACTTGACTAGATTTTAGTTTTTACTCTCACAAAAAATGCAAAGCAGTACATTTTTGACCTAAAAAAATTTTATTTAAATAAAATCCTCTATTTCTTTCCCACACCAATAAAGCACATGTATAAGATGATGAATATGCATGCTAAAACAGAGACCTCAATAGAGCACTATATCCACATTAAACAAGACCTTGTTTTTCTGGAATTAATAGCTCAAACCCATGATGAGGCGACTTTCTAAACGAAGCAGTGACTGATGGTTAAAGCTACTGAGAGCTCATTCCCTGGAGTTTTCCCACACTCTGCCCATTCAAACACTCAACAAAAGTGTTTCATTAGAAACAATTCAACACATGGCCATAAGGACTTCAACAGAGACCCCCTCGTGAGAGACTCTACTGAATCTGGACTATTTGTCCTAATTAAGATGTATTTAGAGCATTTGGTGATTGCACTTCTAAAGTTTATTGTTCAATAAAAACAGAAATAAGATCAAACTAGACCGTGTTTCATGTTACACTCAAACTGATGCTTCAAATTGTGCTTAGGCTATGTAAAATTCAGACTCATGGCTTATGAGATATACTTTCTGTTATTTGACTCAAAAGCAAAACACTGTGCAAGATGTTTTATTGTAATGCTGCACCGTTTTAAAGTTTGAGGGCTCACTTTAGGTTTATATTTTTCTTGGGATGGCAGAGCTTAATTTGTAGCGTCCATAGTGTTCAGTGTCACGTGGTCCTTTAGAAATTATTTTATTGTGCTGATTTGCTGCTCCAAAAATATTTCTCATTATTACCTGTGTGGAAAACAGTAGTGCAACAGATTCATTTAGTAATTAACTTTTTGTAAATAAAAAAGTTTGAAAAGGACACCATTTATTTGAAATATAAATTATCTAGAACGGTATAAATGCATTTGCTGTCACTTTTGTACAAGCATCCTTAATAAATAAAAGTTTTAATTATTTCAAAAATGCCCATAAAAAAACTTAAACTGTTTCCAAGTGCCCTCAGGAACAAGCTAAAATACCCCAGGGGCTCTACACGTGCCTGCTTTATCATCTGAATAACTTGCTTACATTTAGTTTTTTTTACAAAAAATATTACAACAATTTAACAGAACAGCTACCATAAACTGCTCACATATTCACCAGATATGAAACCTCATGTTTGTTTTAAAATAAAAAAAATCAAACTAAGTCTTGATGTGTTTTACTGATGGGAAGGTTCCTGTATTAATGGCACGTGCTTTGTCAATAAATGACCCCAGTATCAGCCAACAAACAAAGCTTTAATCGAGGGGTCTCCACTTTCTCACACACTCTCCATCCTCAACAGCCAACCCTCCACCTGCTCCCCAAAGACCAGCCCATTGTTCCCTGAGCAATAAGCACGTCATTTAGCATGTGGCGGCCCTCTGCTCCTTCTGTCTTTAGAGCTCTCCCATTGGCTGCAGACTGTGAGAACCTCCAGCAAACTCCAGACTCACACATTGATATGGAGATTTGTGAGTATAAATAGAGGAGAGAGGAGTGAGAGTTTAGCACAGCTCAGATCTGATCCTGAAGGAGAACTGAACACAAGACACACAGCAATGACTCCTACAATCACTGGATCAATCAGCAGCAGAGAAACTCTACTGACAAACAAGGTAAATATTGATCATTTCACAGCTCAGCTCTTAATGTCAGATTGCAGAAATGCTGGATGAGTGTTTCTAAACGCCTGTCCTCAATGTTTCCTCAGCTGAGAAAGCCCATGGTGGAGAAGATCCGCCGAGAGCGAATCAACAGCAGCATCGAGAAGCTCAAGACTCTTCTGGCTCAAGAGTTCATCAAGCAGCAGCCCGACTCCAGACAGGAGAAAGCTGATATCCTGGAGATGACGCTTGATTTCTTGAGACGCTCTCAGAAAAGCAGTGCGGCTGGTGACGGACGCTCCAGATGTGTGCAGGAGGCCGTCAGCTTTCTGTCTCAGTGCCCAGTGCAGACGCAGAGCCACACAAGACTGATGAAGCTCTTCCTGCACATGCAGACTCCTGCAGACCAGCACACACGTGTGGACAATCCTCAGACCACTGAAACACACGCAAACAGCAGCGCCAAACAACACACTCCAGTCCGCAGTCACATCTGGAGACCCTGGTAGAGCCCAGAGCACCCGCCGTACCATTGAGAAAACACGAGTCACGATGCCAGTCTGAGATTGGCATGGACTGAAGTTCAGAAAGTAGGAATTGATTTCCGCCTCTGCAGCTTCTGCAGGACATTTAATCTGCTTTCAGAGAAAGAGAGTTTAGTGAAACTGTGTGAGCAGTCATGTTTGATCTCAATGCACACAATCATCTGCTGTGTAGAATGATTATAACAGTGCATTTGTGAAAATTAACATTCAGTAGAAACTTTAAAGTCTGATTCAGACATTTGAGCATTTCACCCATATTGGGTTTGTTTTCTCTTCGTCTATACGATGACCACACTGCTTTAGTTCACTGAAAACACTTGATTTAGATTTCTGCTATTTGAAATGCATCTTATCTTTTCTTATAATATAAGAAACACTTCTTCAGTTGAAAGATTTATTTGTGTGTTGAAGCACAAATGATTGTTTTTAATGTTTGCATGTGTTTACATGTAGGAGACTTTTCCCCTGTAAAGGGCAGATCAGTGTTTTCACTGTTAGTCAAGAATTTCACTTTTATTTGTAAAGTCATTTTCTTACCTTCATTGAAGGATTCTTGCTCTGCATGTAAAGGATGACCACACTGCTTTCATTTACTGAAAGTGCTTTACTTCTTATTTCTTTTGTTTGAAATAATTTCATCTTCTCTTATTGTTAGAGAAATATATCTTCATTTGAAGGACTTGTTTGTGTGTTGAAGCACAAATGATTGTTTTATTGTTGGTTACTTTTCCTCTGTAAAGACAAATGTTCTCACTGTTTGTGAAAGAATTTGACTTTTATATGCAGTCATTTTCTTACCTTCATTGAAGGTTCTTGCGCTGCATGTAAAGGATGATCACACTACTTTCTTTTATAGAAAGTGCTTTATTTTTATTTCTATTATTTCTATTGTTTCTATTGTTTGCTGTTTTTCTCTTATTGTTAGAGAAATATATCTTCATTTGAAAGATTTATTTGTGTGTTGAAGCACAAATTATAGTTTTTAATGTTTGCATGTGTTTACATGAAGAAGACTTTTCCCCTGTAAAGGGCAGCTCAATGTTTTCACTGTTAGTGATTTACAAATGTATCTTTTATGTTTAGAGTCATGTTTTTACCTTCTCTGAAGGTGTTTTCTGGTCATTACTTCATATTGAAGTACAACATGAAAATAAATGTTGAGAATTTAAGCTGTACTATGTTTTGGAATGTTTTATTCAATCATAAATAATAAATCAGAGCGTTTTTGCACCATATAAGGACATTTTAATTGTTTTTTAATTCAGTCGTCACATTTGGGTCATATTTGGTCATAATTAAACCTAAAAATACTTTCATCTGTCGAATTTAACAATTGATAGAATTTAGACACTAATGTGTACATTTAATATAAACCAATTAGAGGGAAACACAGTTCTTTTTGAAAGGATATCACCCACTGACATTTTTCTATCTTCAAATGTGCTTAGTTTGAATGTGATTTGCTCTGCTTTGTCATCTCCTTAAATCTGAAGCAATCCGGTATGCTGGAATGTAATGAGTGGATTGTGCTGCTTCATCTTTTTGTTCTTCTTCGAAAAGTTCAAAAAAAAATTTATTGATGGAAATATATTTTTGTTTGTTTTTGGTAAACTCTAAACCAGAATTGGTGAAGTCTGAGCTGAACGGTATGAGTGCATAACATGTTGAAAATTTATTCTTTTTAATTCAATGTGTACAGTTAGGTCAGTATAACTGTTTAAAATATGTACGATTAATAGAATACAATTTGCAGCTAAATATATTTTCAGTATTTCTCATTTGAAAAGTCTTGTTTATTGTTTGTTTTAATAAATAATGAACGTTTTGGCAAAAAAACATTTAAAAGTAGATCATGCACAATAATTTCTTACATGGTTAAAATGGAATTAATGAAATGGACACTAGAACTGAATAGATATTAAATATGAACATGAATATGCAATGATGCATTTGTGTTTAAATTCACATCTTGAACTGTAAGATGCTGAATACTGAATAAATGAATAAAAGCTGAATAAATGTCTGTTTGAACAGCATTTTAAATGTGCAGATATGATGCCATATGTTTTGTGTATTTGATGAACAAGGAATGCAGTCACAACAACAAATTATAGGCAGAAAATATGTTAATTTATTTTCATGTTGTACTTCAATAAGAAGTAATGAACAGAAAACACCTTCAGAGAAGGTAAAAACAAGACTTTAAACATAAAAGATACATTTGTAAATCACTAACAGTGAAAACATTGAGCTGCCCTTTACAGGGGAAAAGTCTTCTTCATGTAAACATTTAAAACAATCATTTGTGCTTCAACACAAAAAAATCTTTCAAATGAAGATATATTTCTCTAACAATAAGAGAAAATCAGATGTATTTCAAACAATAGAAATAAAAATAAAGCACTTTCTATAAAAGAAAGTAGCGTGATCATCCTTTACATGCAGAGCAAGAACCTTCAATGAAGGTAAGATCATGACTGCATATAAAAGACAAATTCTTTCACATAAAACATTTTTGTCACATAAAAACAATAAAACAATCATTTGTGCTTCAACACACAAACAATTCCTTCAAATGAAGAAATTTTTCTCTAACAATAAGAGAAGATGAAATTATTTCAAACAAAAGAAATAAGAAGTAAAGCACTTTCAGTAAATGAAAGCAGTGTGGTCATCCTTTACATGCAGAGCAAGAATCCTTCAATGAAGGTAAGAAAATGACTTTACATATAAAAGTGAAATTCTTGACTAACAGTGAAAACACTGATCTGCCCTTTACAGGGGAAAAGTCTCCTACATGTAAACACATGCAAACATTAAAAACAATCATTTGTGCTTCAACACACAAATAAATCTTTCAACTGAAGAAGTGTTTCTTATATTATAAGAAAAGATAAGATGCATTTCAAATAGCAGAAATCTAAATCAAGTGTTTTCAGTGAACTAAAGCAGTGTGGTCATCGTATAGATGAAGAGAAAACAAACCCAATATGGGTGAAATGCTCAAATGTCTGAATCAGACTTTAAAGTTTCTACTGAATGTTAATTTTCACAAATGCACTGTAATAATCATTCTACACAGCAGATGATTGTGTGCATTGAGATCAAACATGACTGCTCACACAGTTTCACTAAACTCTCTTTCTCTGAAAGCAGATTAAATGTCCTGCAGAAGCTGCAGAGGCGGAAATCAATTCCTACTTTCTGAACTTCAGTCCATGCCAATCTCAGACTGGCATCGTGACTCGTGTTTTCTCAATGGTACGGCGGGTGCTCTGAGCTCTACCAGGGTCTCCAGATGTGACTGCGGGCTGGAGTGTGTTGTTTGGCGCTGCTGTTTGCGTGTTTTTCAGTGGTCTGAGGATTGTCCACACGTGTGTGCTGGTCTGCAGGAGTCTGCATGTGCAGGAAGAGCTTCATCAGTCTTGTGTGGCTCTGCGTCTGCACTGGGCACTGAGACAGAAAGCTGACGGCCTCCTGCACACATCTGGAGCGTCCGTCACCAGCCGCACTGCTTTTCTGAGAGCGTCTCAAGAAATCAAGCGTCATCTCCAGGATATCAGCTTTCTCCTGTCTGGAGTCGGGCTGCTGCTTGACGAACTCTTGAGCCAGAAGAGTCTTGAGCTTCTCGATGCTGCTGTTGATTCGCTCTCGGCGGATCTTCTCCACCATGGGCTTTCTCAGCTGAGGAAACATTGAGGACAGGCGTTTAGAAACACTCATCCAGCATTTCTGGAATCTGACATTGAGAGCTGAGCTGTGAAATGATCAATATTTACCTTGTTTGTCAGTAGAGTTTCTCTGCTGCTGATTGATCCAGTGATTGTAGGAGTCATTGCTGTGTGTCTTGTGTTCAGTTCTCCGTCAGGATCAGATCTGAGCTGTGCTAAACTCTCACTCCTCTCTTCTCTATTTATACTCACAAATCTCCATATCAATGTGTGAGTCTGGAGTTTGCTGGAGGTTCTCACAGTCTGCAGCCAATGGGAGAGCTCTAAAGACAGAAGTAGCAGAGGGCCGCCACATGCTAAATGACGTGCTTATTGCTCAGGGAACAATGGGCTGGTCTTTGGGGAGCAGGTGGAGGGTTGGCTGTTGAGGATGGAGAGTGTGTGAGAAAGTGGAGACCCCTCGATTAAAGCTTTGTTTGTTGGCTGATACTGGGGTCATTTATTGACAAAGCACGTGCCATTTGTACAGGATTCTTCCCATCAGCAAAACACATCAAGATTTTTTAGATTTTTTTATTTGACTTAAAATAAACATAAAATTTTTATTTCTGGTGAACATGTGAGCAGTTTATAGTAACTGTTCTGTTAAATTGCTTTAAATATATTTTTGTAATAAACTAAATGAAAGCAAGTTATTCAGATTATAAAGCTGGCACGTGTGGAGCCCCAGTGGTATTTAAGCAGGTTCATAAGGGCACTTGGAGTTTGAGTTGCTATTATAAATAAATAAATCTATATGAAATCATGTGAAAAATATATAGATAATTAAAAAAACTAGTTGTGAATTCTCTCGTTTGTTTTTTTTTCCAGTTCAAACATAAAATAATGCTTATTTTTGGCATTTTATTTGTATTAGGAATTGTTGAACTATAAATGATGATGTTCAATAATGTCAACCTATAGGAAATAATATTGGAATTAATTTCTGGTTTGTGCTTAAAAAGAAGTACTTGAACCTGATATGACTAGTTTGCAGATACAAATGTGGTTTAAATTAATATGTCTTGAAAAATTGTGGTTTGAAAGAAATAATATTATTCATCAATGCTGCCTTGGTCAAAAGTAACAGTAAAGACATTTATAAGTTCCAAAAATTCCTATTTTAAATAAGTGGAGTTTTTTTTAAGTTTGTTTAGTATCTATGTTGCACTACTGCTTTCAACACTGCTAGTAATAATAATAATAATAATAATAATAATAATAATAATAATAATAAATTGATTACTAAAGATCATAACACTTATGACTGCAATAATGATGCTGATATTCAGCTTTGCATCACAGGAATAAATTGCCCTAAAAATGTCTTGATGTAAGGGCAGCATAGTGGCCCAGTGGTTACTGTTGCCTCTCAGAAAGAAGATTGCTAGTTTGAGTCCCAGCTGGGTCAGTCGGCATTTCTGTGTGGAGTTTGCATGTTCTCCCGGTGTTGGCATGGGTTTCCTCCAGGTGCTGGTTTTCCCCCACCGTCCAAAGACATTGGCTATAGGTGAATTGGGTGATAAAAATTGGCCGTAGTGTGTGCGTGTGTGTGTGTGAATGTGAGAGTGTATGGGTGTTTATTGGGCTGCAGCTGGAAGGGCATCTGCTTCCAAAACATATGCCGGAATAGATGACGATTTATTCCGCTGAGGTGGCCCCTGAAAAATAAGGGACTAAGCCGAAGGAAAATGAAGGAATGCATGTCGTGATATATATATTATTGCATTTTTAATAATCAGATCATTTCAGGTTTGGGGTGTATTAGAGATTTCTTAAAAAACATTACAAATCTTTAAAACTTGTTATTATTAGTGAACAGCTTAACATCTTATCAACTAATTTTCTTTTAAGGAGCAAATAACAGACATTACAAAGTATTTCTCTCAATGGATGCAATGGATCTGCACCCGTTCAGTACCTGGATGGGAGACCACATGGGAAAGCTAGGTTGCTGCCAGAAGTGTTATTAGAGAGACCAGCAGGGGGTGCTCTACCTGCAATCTGTGTGGTCCTTATGCCCCCAGTATATTGATGTGGACTCTATGGGCTCTATTTTGAAGGTCCATGCGCAAAGCACAGGGCGCAAACGCTTTCAGGGCATGTCAGAATCCACTTTTGCTATTTAAAGGATGGAAAAATCCGCTTTGCGCCGTGGCGCATGATCTAAAAGGGTTGAGCTTATTTTCTTAATAAGTTATAGGTGAGTTTTGAGAATAAACCAATCAGAGTCTCATCTCCCATTCCCTTTAAAAGCCAGTTGTGTCGCGCCATAAGCACATTTGCTATTTACAGGACGTAGAGTAAGTGTAAGGGGAAAAACCGAGCATTTTACTAGCAAGAAAACAGTTAAACAGAGCATCTACAGCGTGAGAATGAGATAAGGCCTCTCATTATCTACTTTCACTTTCATGCATAGGGAAACCTTGTAGGCACAGACATCAATTAGCCTATAAATAATTAATTTTGTTTGTTAAGCGCAAAGATTTGTTTCAAAATTGTTTCTAAATTCAGTTCTAATTTTCAGC